TCAGGGGTTAAAGGTCAGTTCAGTCTCTGAGACCCCAGTCCTTCGGGGGCTCTGGGGGTCTTCAGTCAGGGGTTAAAGGTCAGTTCAGGGGTTAAAGGTCAGTTCAGTCTCTGAGACCCCAGCCCTTCAGGGGCTCTGGGGGTCTTCAGGCAGGGGTTAAAGGTCACAGTGAATCTGGACCATGAGGACCTCTGCAGTTGTAACAGGTCTTGGTGTGAGGGGCTGGAGAGGGGTGAATCGTCTCACTAGAAATCTGAGTCTCAGTGTTTTGTGAAAGCTCTGTTTGAGTCTTGTCCCAGCGGTTACAGCCAGGGGGCAGTTTTCAATGTTGGGGTGAACCGTTGTCCTGGAGCGCTGTAGCCTGCTCACTGGCCTCAGCGCGGAGACCTCGGGCGCCGATCGAGAACTCGCGTGGCTCCCCGACTCGAGGGCGGTGGGAGAGTGCGGCCGCACTGTCGCCACTCTGAGCCCCACCGCAGGGGCCCCGAGTTTCCAGAGGGGGCTCCCCTTCCCGTCGGTCACTCTCCCAGGGCGGCCGGCTGCGAACGGATTCTCCTGTCCTGGGTCCGCCCTCGGCCGGGCCCCCCTCCGGGCGTGGAAACGGACCGGTCCGCTTGTCGGCGCCGGCCGCGGTCGGGGGGGGTCCCGGATCCCGTCTGCGGGCGGAGGGCCAGAGGGCGCCGTCCGCAGAGCCTCCTGCCCCCCCGGAAACAGCGCAGGTGCCTGTCTCTCCCCCCAGGGAACAGGCGAGGGGCCACAGCTGGGGCCCAGGGGTCACTGCCCGGCCAGCCAGGAGGCTAGAGGGGGGCGAGAGGGAGAGGGAAGAGGCCCGAGCCGGGAGAGACCCCGGAACGCCGGCAGCCCTCAGCAGGGCCGACGGGAAGCTGATCCCGAGGGCGGGGGGGCGCAGTGGGGTCAGGCGCTTCCCTGGGGGGGGTTGAGCATCCTGCAGGGCTGACGATGGAACTCTCTGGTTAAAAAACAGTGTGCTTCGTAACGTGAAAAATAAAGGAAGGCGATGTAACGGCCTGAGTGTGGCGTGGTGCTCTGGGGGGGGTCTTCCTCAGCTCCCTGCAGTGGGGTGGTGGGTGGGGTTGCTGGGGGTCTTCCTCAGCTCCCTGCGGTGGGGTGGTGGGTGGTGGGGGGTCTTCCTCAGCTCCCTGTGGTGGGGGTGGACCAGTCCTTTCCAGTCCATGACAGTAAAGAGACCAAGCAGGTGCAGGATGCCGCAAGCCAGGCCAGTGAAACTCGGGGTACTGTGCAGTTCTGAAGGGTTGGTGTAGCACCCCCACCCCACTCAATCATGCATACTTCCTCACACACAGCCACTCACACCCACACCCACAGACCGTGCAGGGGTCCAGCCCCTGAGGACCGCAGAGCAGGCCCCCTTTTCCCCGGGGGGGGGTGACAAACCTCTCTGGATGTTTTCAGACCCAGAGGAGGAGCTGCTCTCCGCCACCAGTTCACTGCGGTACGCGGTGTGATTTCTGGACTTCTCGATCGGCCTGAAGCAGGCCTGCGTGCTCTTGGGGGAGGTGACCAGCGCAGCTGTCTGCTGGCCGTGCAGCTGCCAGGTCCTAACAGTGCCCTCTGGTGGTGGAAGTCGATGCTTTTCCCAGAACAGCCTCTGTAAAGGCGACCGGGGAGTCCACAGTCGCGCAGTGGTTGTCACAGACACCGGTGGACTAGTCTAAGCTAAAGCTGCTGTGTGCCGATGGGTCTGTCTACTGCGGCACCTGACACCCCCACTGCGGGGCTCCCTGAGAGCACACTGGTGGGGTCACGTGGGACAGAGTTTGCTGCTGTCCTGGTCTGGGAGAACTGCAGCAGACCAGGCCTTAAACCCCACCACCCCTGTCGCGGGAGAGAAAAAGTGTGCTCGAGTCTTTAACAAAACGAGCACAGGCCCGGTGGACTCAACTGCGGACCTGTCAAGGTAAGAGTTTTATTGTCAAACGTCACGCCTTGCTGGTACGGTGGAGCTGTTCGTGATGCAGCGATCAGCCTGTTGGAAGGGAGCGGGCGAGTGTATTTAAACCCATCCTGTCCATGCATGTCTCTCGCTCCTTGGACGAAACTACCTGGACA